ACCTAACCGAGTTGTGCTCGTTAACAGCTATGAAATAAATCTGCTCTACTTATACTTAGAAATACTTTTCAGGAAAGTTAGATTAACATTTAGTTTTGGACTGAAAACAACGTCTATATGTATTTGTGCCTTGGGACTTTGCTCTGTCCAGAGACAAACAGCAGAACTAAGTTCATGATCCTGCTCTCTTAAAAGTAATCATGTAGTGACCCTGCTCCAGCTGTTTTCTGCAGCTCCGGGCCTAAGTTCAGGAAATTAAAGGTTCAATTAAAGGAAATTTGGGTGTCCGACATGAGAATGTAAAAGAAATATTAAGAAACAGTCTTTATTGTTTCCTTTCGTCTTTCTTCCAGAGGCAGCAGAAGCTGCAGAGGGAACGCCTGATGAACGATTTCTCTGCAGCCCTCAACAACTTCCAGGTGGTGCAGCGGAAGGCGGCTGAGAAAGAGAAGGAGTCAGTGGCCAGAGCTCGAGCCGGATCCAGAGTCATGGTGAACAAATAGCATACTTTTCATGGAACACAACAGTTTAGACTTAACCACCAGTAATATTATACTCCCAAACACACAGTGAGGACTTGAATCACTCCTGATAAATATGAATGATTGATAAGTGACGCAGGCTGATGGAACCTTTTTGTGTCTGTCTACAGGGAGATGGAGGGAATGTGAATGACCAGCTGGTGACATTTGAAAAGTAAGTTTCATAGTGTTCTTTAATTATTTTACCTTCAGCCAAGTCTCTGTTGCCACTGTTCTCTGTTCAGTTTGTTCCTTTGAGTTCTTTGACTGACTGCACAGTTCAAGCTATTTTAAAAGAATCAGTCCACGGTGAAACAGCTGTGGGATATTTTGAGTATTCAAGTATTTTGAATCCAAATATAATAATGAGACTGTATAATCCAGAGCATAGTGACACTATCAATATGATCAGCTATTAGCATATTGTAGAAATGCAGGCTGATGAGTAGTAAGAAATATCAGCACAGACAAACCAAAAATATGTGTAAGGTCATTATGGCATTCAGTATCATTATACAGTTTATCCAATAGATGACTCTGTTAACTTTTACAGCTAAATAATGTTTGTACTTCATATATATGTTATTATATATATATATATATATATATTATGATATGATTATTATTATTATTGTATTGCTCAGGGAAGATGAATGGAGTCAGAGCCAGACTCAGACTGAGGAGCCCACCATCACAGAGGAGGACCTGGAGCTCATCAAGGAGAGAGAGACCAACATCAAACAGCTGGAGGTATAAACCTGAACTTACATGATGTCCCACAGAGAGAGGGATGCTGTCACACTGTCATTGGTAGTTGTCCTCATGCAGTCACTCCTGTCCTCCTCTCCAGGCCGACATTATGGATGTGAACCAGATCTTCAAGGACCTTGCTGTGATGATCCACGACCAGGGAGATATGATCGGTACGTAAGAGGAAACCTGGGTTAGCCCTGAGTCATACAGATGTGTGTGTGTGTGTGTGTGTGTGTGTGTGTGTTAACACCGAGGCTCCTGTGTTTCCATTACCAGACAGCATCGAGGCCAATGTGGAGTGCGCTGAGGTTCATGTAGACAGAGGAGCAGTGCAGCTGCAGAAGGCCGCCTATTACAAGGTAGGATAGAGGGTCTGGACAAAACAATGGAAACACTACATCAAATCATCATATTTTAAAAGCCAGCTAAAGATGTACGGCATAATAAAGTACATAATACATAATGATTGCATGTTGAAGGGTAAGACGTGGTCTGATTCTATGAAAACACCAAACCAATAAAGAGCTGATCCCATTACTCAACAGCCTGACACACTGTAAAAACACCTGCAGTGAGCAGCACTGTTGCAGTGAGTCCTGCACTGATCAAACCCACACCCACAGGCCCCTGCAAAGCTCCGTACCTGACCTGACCCACTACCAACAATTATCTACAAGTCAAATCTGGACTAACCTGGACCTGTTTACATATGTCCCACAGCCTGACCCCTCATCCACGATTTAACACAAATGCTATGTACAAATTAACTCCCATCAGCAGTGTTATGAGCTCCTTGTCCTCCAAGTGGTTGAGTTGTGAATTTATCACACTTCTGGGAAATCAAACTGTCCAGTTAGGAAGCAACACTGATTGTGAATCGATTTCACCTGCTGTTGTGCAAATGGAACAGACAACAGGTGGAAATGAGAGGCAGTTAGCAAGACAACCCCTATAAAGGAATGGCTCTGCAGGTGGTGACCACGGACCATTCCTCTGTCCTCATCCTTTCTGGCTGATTTTTGGTCACTTTTGCATTTTGCCAGTGCCCTCCGCACTAGAGGTAGCATGAGGCGGTGTCTACAACCCACAGACATTGCTCAGGTAGTGCAGCTCATCCACATCAATGCATGCTGTGGCAAGAAGGTTTGCTGTGTCTGTCAGCACAGTGTCAAGAGCATGGAGGAGATACCAGGAGACAGGCCAGTACACCAGGAGATGTGGAGGGGGCCATAGAAGGACAACAAGCCAGCAGCAGGACTGCTATCTGCTCCTTTGTGCAAGGAGGAGCACTGCCAGAGCCCTACAAAATGACCTCCAGCAGGCCAGTGATGTGCATGTTTCTGCTCAAACTGTCAGAAACCGACTCCATGAGGGTGGTACAAGGGCCCAATGTCCACAAGATGTACTTACAGCCCAACACCATGCAGGGCAAATGGCATTTGCCAGAGAACACCAAGATTGGCAGCTTCGCCATTGGTGCCCTGTGCTCTTCACGGATGAGAGCAGGTTCACACTGAGCACATGTGACAGACATGACAGAGTCTTGAGACGCCGTGGAGAAAGTTCTGCTGTCTGCAACATCCTCCAGCATGACCGGTTTGGCGGTGGGTCAGCTATGGTCTGGGGAGGCATTTCTCTGGAGAGCCGCACAGCCCTCCAGAGGTACCCTGACTGCCATTAGGTACCGGGATGAGATCCTCAGACCCATTGTAAGACCATATGCTGGTGCAGTGGGCCCTGGGTTCCTTCTGATGCATGACAATGCTAAGCCTCATGTGGCTGGTGTGTGTCAGCAGTTTCCTGCATGATGAAGGCATTGATGCTATGGACTGGCCTGCCTGTTCCCCAGACCTGAATCCAATCAAGCACATCTGGGACATCATGTCTCGTTCCATCCACCAATGCCACATCTCTCCTCAGACTGTCCAGGAGTTGACTGATGCTTTGATCCAGGTCTGGGAGGAGATCCCTCAGGAGAACATCAGTCGTCTCATCAGGAGCATGCCCAGGCGTTGTAGGGAGTGCATACAGGCATGTGGAGGTCACACACACTACTGAGCCTCATTTTGACTTGTCTTGAGGAATTTCCACAGAAGTTGGATCAACCAGTGATCAGATTTTTCCACTTTTGTTTTGAGTATGATTCTGAATCCAGACCTCCATGGGATAATGATTTTGATTTCCATTGATCATTTGTGTTATTTTGTTCTCAACGCATTCCACTATGTAATGAATAAAGATTTTCAACTGGAATATTTCATTCATTGAGATCTAGGATGTGTCGTTTAAGTGTTCCCTTTATTTTTTTGAGCAGTATATATATAAATATAATATTATACATATATATATATGTTGCCATCTTCCTCCTATTTGAGTCACATTTATTAAAAACAACAGTAACCAGGAAATTACTAAGTGAGTAAAGTCAATTAAATATTCTTCACTCACTCTGACATGATATTTGTTGTGTGCAGAGGAAATCTCGTAAGAGGATGTGCATGCTGGCCATGGTGCTGACGCTTGTGCTCACCATCCTCATCATCATCATCTGGCAGGCCCTGAAATGAGAGGAGAAGCACAGCCCGATGACACCTTCACATGACTTCCTCTGTGTGTGTGTGTGTGTGTGTGTGTGTGTGTGTGTGTGTATTTATGTGGGAGGACAAATGAGTGGGAATAACAGTTGGTTTCTTATGTTTAATGTCTTTTGGGGCTAACAGCAACGTGTTAGGAACTAACCTGTCAATATTTTGTCATGCTGTTGAATTTTTTTTTATCATTTGTTTTTTTAAGTCAAAAACTGACATGTTCAGTTCTTCTTCCTGTAGTTTGAGACATTAAACTGTTCTACTTCCAACCCCACTGCTACTGCAGATAGTAATGATGATAATGGGATGGGGATTTTGCAGAATGGAGGAGGGGGATGGATGGTGTGTGTGGGTGTTGACTAAAAAAAAGCTCTGTGTTTTTTGTCTAAGAAAAACAAACAAACCCTGTATCCCTACACAAAAGTAATTTTGTCTTCATGTAACTTCCATCACTACAGTCACATCCTGGATTATGATGACCAATGTTGCACAATTTTGTACACAGAAAGTCCATCCTGTCTTGTTTGAATGTGGAGTGTAGAATGTAGTGTTTTACTCATGATAATGTTGAAAGAAATATGATGAATGTGTGTCTTCAGTAAAACAGCTCGTTTCACTGGTCGTGCCCAGTACTGCTGGTGTAATGTCTCATTTCGCCCACCAGGTGGTGAGCTAAGCATGACAGGGGTTCTGATAATGTAAATGAGTAGCCCTGGAATTTATACTTCGGTGTACTGGAGTGGTATCACCATAGTAGAAACACACCACATAAAAGTACAAGTAGATATCACCATCAACATCTAAATATCAAATCGTCAAGAGTGAAAACAGAAAATAAAACAAAATGCTTAAAGTAGAAGTAGAATAAGGAGAAAGAACACCAATAAAATGTGAAAATATGATATTATTTGTAGTGGACAGTCTTTAAAGTGTATACTGGTCAAATTTTTAACAAAACATTTTCATGTGTAATGTGATGGTGTCAAACACAAACAAAACAGAGCTACAACTCTAAAGAGTGAGTGTACACAAAGAACACAAACTGCAGTATACATCCTGCACCTGAATACACTGGATAGTTTATGATGCTCACAGCATTAAACAAATAGCATGAATATCATTATTATATCATAGAGTAGCAGAGCAAAATGTATATGTCTGCGTCCAGAGTAAAATGATGTTGGACTTTGATCAGAGTGTTCCTCCATCTGTAGCTCCCTGTGTGTCCGGCAGTGTGTTCTCCCAGAGCACTTACTTGACCTTTTTGTTGCAAAAGCAACAGTTTATAGCAATTTTTTTTCCAGTGAGAACTCTTTGAGAGAAGAG